TCTTCAATGATAAATTCGAATAAGCAAACGTATCAGGTAGGCTTTTATTATATCTGTATTTCGTTCATAGTTTTATTAGTATAAATTACCCAGCCGCCTAACACAATTTGAATTAAGAATCATACTTTACACAAAATCAAGTCACCTATAACATAGAACTGAGTAATCGATTAGCCTTGATTAAGAAACTATGAAATCTATTATAATAGTTAATAGATACAATGGAAGTTCGTAATACAAAGAATTTGATAATAATTATACAATCAAAATATAAACAGTAAGTTTGATGAAGTTTTGTTCTCTGAGCTCGATGGTTTGATCGTGGAGATTTCATCGTTCTCCTGAAGAACGATTAAGATAATGATAAGGATATTTACCTAATTATATAACAGTTAAATAGGATACGATTTATCATAGACAGATCGAAATGATCAATGATAAACCTTAGAGCAATTTTGTTAATAATAAATATTTTAATAGTTGAATTCATGAGTCAATCTAATCTACACCACCATTGAAAAGTTGGAAGCATTAAAAGACTGTTTCGTTCTTGTATGGGACTCCTCAGAGATTTGATTGAAGATAATATTCTAAAAATAATTAATTCTGATGACAATAATTTGTTGAATGTAATTACAAAGAGACGAAATTGAACAAAATGTACACAGTATGTGTTATTACTGAATTTGAATAAATAAACAACCGTAAAACTTCGAGAATGAAAAGAATAATTCATTGAACCACATTACTTTGTTTCAAAGATTGTTTTGCTCTTAATAATACTTTATATCAGTGTCGGGATAAATGGAGATTGTTGAATGTTATTGAGATAACGAATTGGTTTAAACTAGATAATCATTGAAAACTTGTAAGTGCTTGACATCTATTCCATTCTTGTATGGGACTTCTCTTCAGTGTTCATGTTTGACCATATAGTGGACAGAATACAGGGACTTCAGATCTCATAGTGAAAGCCATCACCCTCTTCTTCTCTACTACTTTACCAACTTTTACTTCTAACCAACTTACCTTTGGTTCTACGTCTCTCTACATTAAATATTCTTTCAATTTTAATGATTTTATTTATTATATTATGCAAGCAACTTTCACAATTATTAATCCTTATCTAATTTCTAAGATAATCTTGATGAATATTCAGGATCTTCTAAACTACATTTTTCAGTAATATAACAAATAAATAACTAGAGAAGAGTTTTTTTGGATATTTTAATAATTTAATGGTTGAATCCATGAGTCAATTGAAGCTAAACCATCACTAGTGACGGTCTTCAAGAAGTATTTCCTAGAGTTCTAGTGAGAACCCGTGATCAGTGGTTTTCAACCGAGTCTGTTGTAAGATAGTAACTCACTGATGACAATAGTGGATGGTGGCGCAATTTCGTGAATGTTTGAAGTTAGGCAATAACACCATTGGATGCCGACTCAGTGGTCTGGAAGTTAAGAACTGTCGCACGAGCCTGATCTGTCCTAGGTTCGAATCTCGCGGAGGGGGGAGGGATCATTGATGCGCACTGATGAGGAGTCCCATACTGGGACGAAACGACCATCGAGTGCTTCCAACTTTTCCATGGTGGTCTAGCTTCATTTGACTCATGATCTCAACTATTAAATAAATAACTATTTGTTGTTATCATTGCTACTAAATTCAGTAAATAATTGCTATCAGCATACATACATAATTGATTGTCATTATGAAAAGTATTGTCTTGTTGTCATTATAAGACTTTGCCAATGAATTCACCAATTTTTTTTGGTTTTACTAAAAGTTGACAGTTACAGCTGTTTTGAGTTGGTTGCTAAATTGACAATTTGAAGAGAGACAAAAAGAAACACACATACACACCCAGGCGATCGTGAATTTATTGACTTTTCTCTCTTCAATCTGTTATTTTTAAAAAAAAAATATCCTCATAGTGTCTTACAGATTGTCTAGACCATAGAATCATTATTGATTGTCATTTCTTGATATGTATGTGAACACAATTTTCCAAAATAATCTGTGAATAGTTTTAATGGTTATATGCATGAGATAGTATATAGGGAATAAGTTTATTATCATTGGAAACATAAACTACACTTTTCTAATACGATATACACTATAGATAAGATTGATAACAGTTATGAGAATTGGATAATTTTGTTATTTTAATAGTTGAAATCATAAGTCAATTGAAGCCAGACCACCATGGAAAACCTGGAATCACTGGAAGGCCGTTTCGTCTTAGTATGGGATTCCTTAGCAGTGAGCATTCACAATCCCGATCCCAACCCCCGCAAAATTTGAACCCGGGATCTATGAGTTTCGCGCGCGAGCGCTTAAGTATTAGACCACTAGGCCGGTATCCAGCAGTGTTAATGTTCCATAATAGGACGAAACGGCCGTCCAGTGCTTCCAGATTTCTCATGGTGGTTTAATTTCAATTGACTCATGATTTCAACTATTGAGATTACTAAAATCTCTGCAAAACCCATTCTGATAATTTACTATTAGTTGATAAACTAGTTGTTTCTTACAGTAATATCTAATCGATAGTTGCTGAATGTAACAACCAACTTGTCATACTGTTTTCTTTTATCATTCAATAATGTAGAAAGCCTTGCTATTCATTACCATCAATATAAGTAGGGAGATGTCAATATCTTTTAGTATTATTATTATCACCTACAATGTTTACTAGACATCATCGTCACCATCACCTAATCACCTTTTGTTTACATAATATTAAATTAATTGAGATTGGTCCATTCATAAACACTACCCAGTTTCATTGAAAAGTGATAGGGAATGATTCACTGAGAAGTTGTATAATCAAACACCTTGTCAATACACATCATTCGATCAAAAAGAACTCAGTGTTTAAATTCATTTATAAAATAAGTAGAAAGCTGTCAAATGTAGTGAACTTCCATCTTACAAGTATCTTTGAAGCATATTTTATACATCTGAGAAGAACCAGAATTATGTGCACGAGTAAAACTTGTGAAATTCGTTTTGCCACCAATGTATCAACCAATCAATCAACATAATGTTGAATTAATTCTCGTTAATTCATTGTTGTTGATTGTTTGAATTAGACGATTGGTGATTGATGATGGACTGATCAGTTTGTTTTGTTGATAAATATGCAGAATACTGTACGAATTTCCACGATGTTGTTATTGAGTGATAAGCATTGTGAGTAGAGTTGTGTGATGAGTAATAGTGTACTTAAGGACTGGTAGATGTTTACTCTGATAGTCAATATAGTTTGCTTTAAATGATATCGCGTTATTTATTTAACTACAGAGTCCAGACAGCTATTAGCTTGTGTGGTGGGGTACATTTTAATTCATTTGTATTTAAACATCAACACTTGAATACAAGTATATCTAGCTAACGAGTTCCAAAGCAAACAGAATACATGTCCTAGATACCACTGTTAGTCACTTACCAACTTCGATTACATATGTATATCATTCAATTCTCGCGCAATCTGTATTCTCTTTGATGAAATGTGTAGGTACACATAATAATTACACGTGTAAATTACAATGTAGAATATTAAAGATATGAAACTATCATGTAGTTTTATCAAATCTTATTTGATTAAAATTATTTCCCCTACACAGAGGTTGAATAAGCAGATCAAAATCTATTATCATTCCTGATTTAAATAATTAAACAAGTTATATTCCCAAGTGAGTTCTTTATATACATATAGTTTACAAAAGTATAAAGATGTAATGTAAGAATTTCACTGTAGAATGTAAAACAGTTGCAAAATGTCAATGATGTATATTACTTATTTCAATTTCAAGTTCATAGATTGGGACATCTAATATATGTGAATTATTTAGTGAAGAATAAGGAACATATATCGATGAAATTTGCTAGATGTCTTTTAAAAACTCAGTAAATTAGGTAATATCAACCTTTCTAAGTTAATTACTTACGCCTATTACCCCTTGTGGAGAAGTATATGTCGCGCACCAGGATTCTCGAACTTACTCTGTTCTGGGCAGTTCTTTCCAGTTGTTTTCAATTGCTACTCATTCTTTTGATGTCTGCCTTCAAATCCATGAGCAATGTGTTCCTTACTCTTCCACTTTTCTGTCTCCATTCAGGATTCGAATTTGGCGCTCGCCACGTGATGTAGTTTGATGGTTTCTTCAATGTATTCTCTATCCATTTTCAACGTCTTTACCTAATTTCCTCCTCAATTAGAAGCTAGTTTGTTCTCTACCATAGTAGGTTGTTGCTGATGGTATCCAATCAAGGGACATTCAGTATTTTGTTTAAACAACTGTTTACAAATACTTATACCTTTGTGATGATGTTTATGGTAGTTCTTCATGTTTTAGCTCCGTACAGTAGAACTATCTTGACGTTTGCATTAAAGATTATGACTTTGATATTGGTTATTTTGAGTTCCATATGTTGTTCAACTGTAGGAATGTTTTCCTTTCTTTGCTAATCTTCACCTTTAGGTCTGCATCCGATCTTCCTTGTTCATCGATGATGCTTCCCAGGTACGTCGAATTCCCCACCTCTTCCAGAGTTTCTTCATCAAGTGTGATTGGGTTGGTGTTCTCCGTGTTGTATTTAAAGATCTTGATTATTTCCTCATAATAAAAAACGCTTACCAAAATAATATCAACCATATGAAATGAATTAATTTGAAATGAATTCTATCAACTTAAAAAAAATTAAATTGCCCACCACAAATTTTGATTATTATCACTATAATTTTATGTAGCCGAGTCAAAATAACTAATTAAACCTTTTTGGACCATACAATAATAAAATTATTTAATCATTGAATCCACGAGTTAATTAAACCTGAAAGCACTGAATAGTCGTTTCGTCTTAGTATGAGACTCCTCAATAGTGCTCATCCATCCAGGATCTATTAGTCTTGCACATGAACGTTTAACCTCTAGATCATTGAGCCGAGTAATCAACGGTGTTAATGTCTAAAATTGCTCTTTCATTAACTCACAAATTCAACTATTAAATTATGAAAATCTTCACAACCACCCCCCTTCTAATTATAAATCAATTAATTGATTATAATAACTAACTTACTCCAAGTAATTTATAATGATTATATGTTGCTATATTATCAAATAATATAACTGTATGATTTTTATTTCCATTAAAATATTGTACAATCACTTTTAAACATGGAAATTTTGAACGATCTTTTGAACATTTATTTTCACATTTAACATCTTTTCTTACAATATATGCATGTATAAATGTACAATTTGTATGTGTAAATGCTGATTCATGAAAATATGGTTGTACAACTAAATGGATTAATATACATTCTATAATAAATGTTGTTGTTATTATTGTAGCACATGTTAAATAGATAATTTTGATACTATTAATTTGATAAGATTCTGGTATAGATTGACATAATTGTCTACTAGTCATGATTTATATTAATTTTCCTATTTGAATTCCCCCTCTTGTAGAATCATTTTGTTTTGTGCTATTTTTGTGGGGGGGGGAAATAAATAAAAAATAAACAAGATCGATAGTTTACTTTTTAAAAAAAATTATTATCCGTTTAAAGGGAAACCAAAGATGTGCATTTTATCTTTCTTAAATGAAAATAACAATAAAATATAATCATCACATAAATAAAGTGATTATTCACCAAATAATCAACCAATCACAAATCGACATTATTTTCTAGCATTTTGATTGGTTGAAATTAAATTGTTTTTTTTTCTGGTTAGTTTTTAGTTTTTTTTTAGAAAAAATTAACAGAAGAATAAAACTATTAATAATTTCATTCTAATTCGTTTGACAATCCTAAATTCACGTGCTCTTGCTTTAAACGATGTAGTTTACCCTTAACCTTGCCATTTTTTGAATTATTAATTTTGATATATAATTGTAGAACCTGAAGAGAATATGTCGAAAAGAATATTCTTCGTTCAAACATTAGTTGAAGTTAGACATTAACATTGTTGAATGCCGGCTCAGTGGTCTAGTGGGTAAGTGCTCGCGCGAGAGACCAGTAGGTCCTGGTTTCAAATCCCACGAGGCGGGGTCGTGGATGCGCCCCCAAATGCCCTGGTACGGCAGAGAGTGGGTAGAATCCGCTCTTCCTCTCGAAATGCTCTCACATAGCCACGCGTATATAGCCTCTGCCAGGTAAGTCCTAATCACTGCCTTCTCGTGGCGGGGGTGTTGTTTACGAAAATGAGAGGACGAAAAGCGAATGTCCGGCGCTTTAACCGGGTTCCAAATCAGTGGTGCACATGGGCTCCAGTATCCTGCGAGAACAAATAGCGTATGAACCAATCGTTGGTCACCGGCTACCATGGGACTGCATCTTCTCACGATGTTCCACTGCCTTATTGATCAGACCTTCAAGTCGAAGGCTCAGGGAGTGGCCCCCTAAGAAAACCACGTGGTTCGGTTTGGGCACCCGAGCAGTATCACAGCCCTCACGCATATCGAATGAGATTTGTGTGGCAAATATATATTTGGTGCCTCCTTGTACCAATATATATGTGTTAGAATAATAATAAACAATGCGCACTGCTGAGGAGTCCCACAATAATAGATGAGAAAAATGAACAAGAATTAGATAGAACTAGAAAGAAATGTGTTGGACAGAGTAGGTTGGAGAATGATGGTCGGCGGCTTGTGCTCATTGGTGATAACCAGTGTAAGTAAGTAAGCCTCACAAAAATAACTTGCACAAAAATTCGTCATTATCAAATACACATAAAATAGTATCAGAAAGGGTTTTGTGGATATTATAATAAGTTTGATGGTTAAGATCATGAATTAACTGAAGCTAGATCACTATGGAAAACCTGGAAGCACCGAACTCCTCAGCAATGCCCATCCACGATCCCAACTCACGAGATTCGAACCCAGGTCGTCCAGTGCTTTCATGTTTTCCACTACTGCTTAGCTTTAATTGACTCATGATCTTAACCATTAAAATTACACAACAATTAGTTGATCTTTTAAATACATGTATTGATACATTTCATAAATACAATCAGTTAGCTCTTATTTTCCTAATTTTCTAAATTCATTATAAAATGATTCCCTTCATAATCTATAGATTTTCTGACAAATTCTTATGAAAATAGTTGAAATCATGAGTCAATTGCAGCTAGACAACCATGAAAAACCTGAAAGCACTAGACGGTTGTTTCGTCCTAGTATGGGACTCCTCAGAAGTGCGCATCCACGATCCCGCCCCCCGCGGGATTCGAGTCCAGGACATATCAGTCTCGCACGTGAGAGCTTAACCACAGTGTTAATGTCTAACTTTAACCAATCCACAAAATTGCGCCACCATACACCATTGTCTTCAGTGAGCTGATATCTCACAACAGGCATTGGATTCTAATCTCGCGGGTAGCGGGACCATGGATGCGCACCGCTGGGGAGTCCTACAATAGAACGAAACGGCCGTCCAGTGCTCCGAGGTTTTCCATGATGGTCTAGCTGCAATTGACTCACGAATTCAACTATTGAAACTACTAAAATCTCCACAAAACCCCTTCCAATGTAAGTATTTTTTTCTTTTTCTGAAAAAAGAAACAACCTACGCGAGAAAAGCTATTTGTGTAAAGATATTTAGCTTTTCTTTTCTCTTTTTATTTATTATTCCATATAATTAATTATTTGATGTTGGTTTTCTATTCATTCTTAATAACATTTGATTTTCCTTTCTATTATATAGTTAGTTGTCTAGTCAATCATGCGTGAATTGGCCAACTATTATGCAATAAGAATAAATACAATTGATAGAATAGTTTGTAATTTCATAACTATTTTAGTAAATTTCAATCTATTAACATATTCATCTATATATAGTTGCTATTGAATTATGACCAAAGACTGTAGTGAGTTAGGAGTTGGAAACAGATATCGAAAGGATGAATAACAACTAGAACTAAGTGGAAAAGATTGATCAGGACACAGTTTTATAGAAAATCTTAGTGGGAGGTCTATGCCTCTCTACGAAGAGTAGCAGGCGTAACTAAGTAAGGATTGTATTATCAATCTAAAAACAAGGATCTCACAACGTATACATACATATCAATGCTAAGACTGGACTTGATAGCTTCAAATAAATTGAGTATTCGGTAGTAAGTTTTTAATAAATATATATTTGTGATATCCCAATGAGTGGAACATAGTATTTCTGATGTTCCGTGACTTGATGTAAGCCAATTCTTTAGTGTAAATAAATAATTGAACTTTAAATTAACATAAGTTTAAATAACAGTACAAAATAAACAAAGCTAAATACCTTTTAGAATGATCAGAATCATCATAATGGGTCTGAATATGTCAATGTCAAGTTGATCTTGATCAAGCTAAATTTGTATGACTTGTCACTGTGCATCAGAATGTGAATATTAAAAATGTATACATTTGTAATATGATATTGTAGAGTTAAAATTGTGTGTATATGTGTGTAGATTGGGTGGAAAATGAATGTGATTGTTTAAATAAACAGTCCTAACACCAAAAAAATAAAGTAACAGGTCGTACAAATTCACGTTAAGTCATGAAACGTCAGAAATACGATGTACCAATAGAATAAATTGGTCTTAACACACTGTAAAATCTTTGAATTAAAGGAAATAGAGACAATCTTCATTTAACAAACATTAGTAATACGTCATCTAATTGAATATTGAAGTAACCTACTATTATTGTATCGGTGTCGCTTATTTCCATACTTTTTTTAAAAAGAAGACCTGGGATCACTGAGATTCCCATGTCGCGAAATATGACCACCAAGACTAATACCAGTATAGATTTATTAAAACCCGAAAAACGACAACGACTCCTAGTGGAGGAGCATAGGCCAACAACCAACACTCTCCATCTAACTCTGTCATCAACAAACATTTACATTTCTCTCCTTTAACTATTCACCCTTTTGATGTTCGTTTCCGATTCTCAACACAATGTGTTCTTCGGCACTTCTCTTCTTCGTTTCACTTCACGATTCCACGTTACGGCTTCACTCGTGATGCAGTTTGCTGACTTCCGAAATCTATGTCCTATTCACCTCTAACGTCTTTCCCTTATTCCCTCTTCACATCGATGCTAGTTCTCCCTCTCTCACACAGGGATGTTGCTCATGATATCCGGCCAATGGATGTTGAGTATCTTGTGTAGACAACTATTTATAAATACTTGTACCTCCTTGACGATGATTGTAGTAGTTCTCCAAGTTTCAATTTTGTATATTTGGACTGTCTTGACCTTCGTAATGATGATTGTGACTTTGATATTGGTTGACAGTTGTTTTGAGTTTCATATGTTGTTCAACTGAAGGAATACGGCTGTTGCTTTGCCAATCGTCGCCTTCACATCTGCATCTGATCCTCCTCGTTCATCGATGATGTTTCCCATGTAGGTGAAACTTTCCACCTCTTCCAGATTTTCTCCATCACGTGTGATTGTGTTGGTGTTCTCCGTGTTGTATTTAAGGATCTTGCTTCTTTTTTTGTGCATGTTGAGGCCTACTGATTCAGAGGCTGATGCTACACTAATTGTCTTCATCTTCATTTGTTGATATGTATGAGATAGGAGGGCTAGGTCATCTGCAAAGTCCAAATCGTCTAATCGATTTTGAGTTTTCCATTGTATTCCATGCTTTCTCTCAGATGTCGAGATCTTCATAATCCAGTCGACCACGAGAAGAAAGGGGAAGGGGGAGAGTACACAACAACAACCATAGTCCAAATTACACTGATTTATATATTGATTAAACACTCATTTTAATTATTCATTAGAATAAGATCACATTTATAAAAAAATATATACCCAAAGTTATAACAAGTTCACATGCTATCTAACATGCCGAGTATACTTCATATTCATTCAACACAAGAATATCCCATCTTGAACAGAATATCACACTTAAATAAATTAATATTGTATCGAATAAAATACCACACTGTTAAATGAAGATAAATATTACTTTAAAGAGTCAGCTATCTAAAGTTGAAAACGGAAGTAATATTATACAAGAATCACAATGAACAAAAGGGGATGTAATTTTACCTTTTTAATTCTGTCATATTGTGGTGTGTGCTACTTATATTGATATAAGTAGTATATGACGTGAGTCAGGTATGTAATGTTTGGCGGTAGAAGATGGGGAAGATTAAGAAAGGAAGAGAGGGAGTAGAAAGCAATTAATATTGAAATGCAAGACCAATGAAGTTCGAGACAATTATTGAACATTTTGCAAATTAAGTATCATAGTATAGTTTTTCTATTTTAGCAAGTAACTCTGTAATTGTGTGCTGAATATAATCCAACTGTCCCTGTCGGTGTTCTGTTCACTATAATATACCCTAAGTAATGTGAAATGCCAACATTTTAAATGTTAAAAAAAAGATAAAAGGAGATTGAAATAATCATAAGGAAATTGTAAAATCTAACAAGTGGTTGAAATGCCCTAGATGATATGAATGGTAAACTAATATTCTCGTCGGTATTAATATAAATTTACTTTACAGGAAATAGTAATGTACATCAAAGAGAATAAATAATATTAGCGTTAGAGAGTAATGAAGAATAGTGAATTTTTCAGTTTACA